GCTGTATCTCCGCCGCTGTGTGCCTGCTGTATCTCCGCCTCTGTGTGCCTGCTGTATCTCCGCCGCTGTGTGCCTGCTGTATCTCCGCCTCTGTGTGCCTGCTGTATCTCCGCCTCTGTGTGCCTGCTGTATCTCCGCCTCTGTGTGCCTGCTGTATCTCCGCCTCTGTGTGCCTGCTGTATCTCCGCCGCTGTGTGCCTGCTGTATCTCCGCCTCTGTGTGCCTGCTGTATCTCCGCCTCTGTGTGCCTGCTGTATCTCCGCCGCTGTGTGCCTGCTGTATCTCCGCCGCTGTGTGCCTGCTGTATCTCCGCCTCTGTGGCCTGCTGTATCTCCGCCTCTGTGTGCCTGCTGTATCTCCGCCGCTGTGTGCCTGCTGTATCTCCGCCGCTGTGTGCCTGCTGTATCTCCGCCTCTGTGTGCCTGCTGTATCTCCGCCTCTGTGTGCCTGCTGTATCTCCGCCGCTGTGTGCCTGCTGTATCTCCGCCTCTGTGTGCCTGCTGTATCTCCGCCTCTGTGTGCCTGCTGTATCTGCGCCTATGTCTCCTGCTCCCCCTCTGCTTGCCATGTCTCCTGCTCCCCCCAGGTGGATGCAGCAGTACAGCACTTTGGACTGCACGTCACAGTGGCGCCTCTCTTGATCGGCACGCTCTCTGGTGCTCCTTCGCTTGCGCCTTTTCACTCACCGTCTCATGCGTTTGCAATATGTGGGCGTTCCTTGTGCGGGCGTTCCTTGTGCGGGCGTTCCTTGTGCGGCGTTCCTTGTGCGCGTCACACATGCGTCCATACATGCAGGGAAGATGCACTGAGGCGTTACCACGATGCTTCAGCACGATGCGTCTGATAATGCAGCCGTGCCATGATGGGCACCTTCAGTAACGGGCAGGTGGGCTGCGGAGGCACCTCCTGGAGCGTGCAACCACGCAGAGCGTGATCTCATAGCGTGATTCGCATCAGAGCATGATCTCATAGCGTGATTCTCATAGCGTGATCTCACGATCAAGAGCGTGATTCACATCAGAGAGCGTGCTGTGCTGTGCAGTCTGCCATGCATCCAACACTCCCACCTCTACTTCTTTCGCATGTCCACATAACATTTTCCTTCTCACCCTGTCACTGTGTGCCATGCTGTGGAGGCGGCCGTATCGACGATGCTGTACCTGCCCACGTCTCCCTCCTGCCCCTCCTCATTTTCCCCTTCACAATCGTCAACCCCATCAATCCCCCGTGCGCCAGGCTGTGGGGTCGGCTCATATACGACGCAGTGCTAGCCCTCGTCTCTCCCTCCGCTTCCAATCATCCCGAGCTGCTCTACCCCTCATGGTCCGTATCACTCCCCTCACGGTCCGTATCACTCCCCTCACGGTCCGTATCACTCCCCTCGCGGTCCGTATCACTCCCCTCACGGTCCGTATCACTCCCCTCACCGTCCGTATCACTCCCCTCACGGTCCGTATCACTCCCCTCACGTCCGTATCACTCCCCTCAAGTCCGTATCACTCCCCTCACGGTCCGTATCACCCACGTCAAGTATGCGAGGTGACTTTTGAGTCGGCTCAAAAGTCATATTGAACCTGCCCGCTACTGCTCGCTAGCCCCAGAACTCTAAGCTGCAATTTCATGCACTGCAGGTACTCGTGTTCGCGCACAGGTGCTGAACATACATGTTTCCCTATCGTAATCAATGAGGTGACTTGTGAATCGACGCATGCACTGCACTGCAGGTACTCGTTTGCCCACACATGAGCTGAACACACGCGTGTGTTCCTAACAAAAATCCTCCTCTCCGCCCGCCCCCCAAAAGGCTCTCTGCAAACATGGGCAACTAAGTGACTTTCTCACCACAGGTTCACTCGCCCGGCCTGCGTGGTCTCGCTCTTGTACCTGGACGGCCCTCACAGTGCACTGGACAGCAACGCGCTCTCACGTGCTGCTTTTCCTCCTCCCCTCTCCTTTCCATCAACCCAGGTACTCGCGCTCGGCCTTCCTGGTGACCCTCTTCTACACCTTCACGGTGCATTGGACAGCATGGTGCTCCAGACATGCAGCCTATGAGGCCAGGGGGCATCGCCTCTGCTGTACTCACCTCTACCACATGCCACTCGCACCTGCTGCTGCTCTCCCTCCTCACCTCACCCCCCTCTCCAACCCCCCCCAGGTACTCACGCTCGGCCTTCCTGGGGCGCTCTTCTACACAGTAGCAGTGCACTGGACAGCAGTGTGCTCCAGACATGCTGCCTACGGGGCTATCGCCTCTGCCATGGTCTGTACCGCACTGCACCCTGCTGTCACCTGCCCTCACCTGCCCTCACCTGCCCTCACCTGCCCTCACCTGCCTTCACCTGCCCTGCCCTCACCTGCTCTCACCTGATGTAGCTGCTGGTGCTACTTTGAGCTGCTGCTGCACCCACTGTTTTCCCTGGTGAGTCGTTATTGCATTCATAGCATGACACATCCTTGCCTTCCTGCGTATTCCCGTTCTGCCTCCTGTTCCCTTACACCCTTCTCCTCACCATGCCCTCTCCCTCCCGCTCCACCATCCTCACGCTTTCAACTTGCTAAGCTCCTACCCCCCTCCCCCTCACCTCTTTCCTTCTCCTCATAACATGTTTCACGGTTGTCCCTTCCCCACCCATCGCCCACACCCCCCGTACCACTTCTTACCACCCACCCAACGTCCCTGCCCTCCTCATCCAGCCGCCTTCACTGCCCCCCGCCCTGTTCGACCTTCCAGGTAGCCCACAGTGCGTGGGAGGTCGTGACTGACTCGCATCTGGACCCCTCTGCACCGCTCTTCAACCTTCTGCACACCATGCTGTGAGTCATTGAACTCGTTCTTACCTACCTGCTCTCTTGCGTATCTCCCTGACTGCAATCGTTTGCCTGAGTGCATTCCCCATGCAGGCTGTAAGTGTTTGGTATAACGTGCCACATGCATTACACACGCCCACCACCACATGTGCTGCCCACTTCCCTTGGAACACCAGCAACCGCATCTGTGTAACACCGTTCTCCCGAACCGAAACCCCTCTCCCTCGCTCCATCTCTCCCTCACTCCTCCCCTCCCTCATCCTCGTCCCCCACTCCAGGTGCATCCGTCCCCCGCCCCCCACCCACCGCATCACCCCACCAAGCTCCTGGCTCTCAGGCCAAGCCTCAGCCCCCCGCCTCCACCCCCCCCACCCCCACCACCACCAGCACCAACCAGCAGCATCAGCAGCACAGCAGCAGCTGACGCCAGCAGGCCAGCCCCTGGCAGCAGCAGCACGGCCACCACCACCACGGGCAGCAGCAGCAGCGCAGCATTGTCACAGCCCAGCAGCAGGAGCGAGCAGGGAGCAGTGGCTGCGCACCAAGAACAAGAAGACGTAGCTTCCTGTGGGGGACGTGAGGTGGGATGTGGTGGAGGCGGGGTGGGTGCGGTGGTATGTGATGGGTGGTGTGAGGTGGGGTGGTGTGAGGTGCGGTGGTGCCCAGTGTGGAGGCATATGGTGAGGGGTGACACTTGGTCGTCTCGTACTTGGCATGTGACTTGAAATGTGGCGTTCAGTAGAGGAAGGCGGGGAAAAGGAGGATAGAGGAGAGGAGGGAGGAGGGCAAAAGGGGAGGCAGCAGGTCCTTCCGCATCACCTGACAGTAGCTGCGGATTCACCTGACTGGTTTGGAGACCTATTTATTGATGCCCTCAGTGCTGCTCACCAACCAGCCCTGCGAGGGGTGGTTGGTGGACACAATAGTTTATTCTTACTCATTCTTTCAGGGGGCTTTTGAGTCGACTCAAAAGTCGCCTCCTCATCCTCACGGTAGTCTTCATAGCGGTCCCTCCAGTGGCTGCTCGCCATGCAAGGGCTCCCAGAATAGCTTCGGCGAGGCCCAGGCGTGTGGGTGGAGGCGCATCGGGACATCTGAACAGCTGTGGTGTTACACTGAATATCGGACATGCATCCGACAACTGTGGTGCTGCGGCTGTGCTGCACTGCAGCCTTGCGACGGTTCTTAGTGTGGCAGTGGTCTGCTGGTGCGCTGACCGCTGATGCTTGGGGGCGACCAGCGACATGCATGGTGACATGCATGGTGACATGCATGATTAGGGAGGATTACCCTGGGCATAGGGTCATGTGATGTGAGGCACTTGTGTGATGTGCTATGCACGATGACTACCGTATCCGCCCGGATATAAGACATGTGTTGAATAGTAGACAGGGGTTGTCTATTATACGGGTGTCTCTTATAAACAGGCTAGCGTCATTATAAGACACCTATTTGTGTGTACGAGATAAGACATATGTGTCTTATAATCGAAACTGCAATATATTTTAGTGAAAAATTGAAATACCGCGTACATTTTTACCCTTGCGACACGCGAATTCTGCCACGCGCTGACTCACGTACTACCAAATTTGCCTCTGCAAGTATTCTCCATGACGTAGCGTCCCGAACAATGGTTGCCGAAGTGACACCTTCGCAACATCCATACTCATAATGAGAAACTCTTTTCACGATGTGTACAAATATTTCTAAGAATTTTAAAAAAGTTTCCATTTATAAGACTTATAAGACACCCAAAACCTCCCCAAATACAAGATACCCAAGCATTTTTTTAGTGTACGAGATAAGACATATATGTCTTATATCCGGGCGATGACGGTGCCGTATTGTAGTGTACTGTACCACTGTGTTGCCACCGCACAAGAGCTTGCGTTGCGTACGTGGTTGTCGGATGAGCCTGTGCTGTTGGAGCAACCGTGTCTTGGTCATCCTTCTGAGCGCTGAGACAAGCAGGAGTAATATTGCAACTACAGCGTGCATTCATCTCATGGCTTCAGTGCTGTGGGCTGGCATACACAAACTCAGATGATGCCGTACGTACTACCCAACCCTACTCAAGGGAAACAAGTGATGCGCTGAAGACGCCGCCAGGAAAGCGCCCAGAGTCATCGTAGCCCTGTGTGCTGCCCCCCAGGCAGCAGCTGCTGTGACACTCTCGCTTGACACACTAATCACAGCACGAGCACTCCCCCCCCTCCCACACTCTTCCACGTGCCCCTGGTGCAACGAGCTTTCAAGCCGTCCTGTCCTGTGCCTGTCCATCAATAAGCCATCCCAACGGCGCAGTCATGGCTATTGTACAAGGAAACCATATGCAGCAATAATCCAATTATTGAACTGGAAGTTGTTGTTAAGCCGAGAGGACCATATGGACTCGTGCCGAGAGGACCATATGGACTCGCGCACCTGGCTGACGCCACCAGCTTCTTCCCTCGTCACGCGTCACACATCCCGGCTGGGAGGGGCCCTGTGCCCGCCGAAGAAGCTGCCAGGAAGGCACTTGCGGGTCGAAGGGCCCTGGGAAGACCTTTTTGCCTTGAGCCTCCTCCCATGATGTGAACTCCCTGAACCTGATGGGCGGCTTGCCGAATATGTGCAGGAACTGCAGGCGCTTCTTGCCGCTGTTCACCAGCTGGAAGAGAGGGGGAGGGGAAGCAATATGCAAGTTGAGATGCGATAGGGCAAATGAGGGAGGCCCGAGTGGGGGAAGCGGGAAAGCGCCCCGGTGCGCCTGGTGAACAGTGTTGCGGGGAGTGATCAGATCAGGGGTGAAATTGGCGAAAAGGGCTGCGAACGCTGCGACCTGTTCCATCCAACTAACACACCCCTTGATTGATTCAGTAGAATAATGCCCTCGAACAGATGATTTGCTACCTGCCCAATGGTGCACCCTTTCCAGGAATCTTCAATGTCCAGTTCTAGCCTGCTACAAACCTGTTTCGCCTCGTTGCCGTACCTGGTGAACGGTGTTGCGCGGAATGATGACGGTGGAGTTGGCATGGAAGGGCGTGGAGGCGAAGGGTGCCGGCGACACCTGGTCTGTGCTGTTGGGACGGAAGCGCAGCGCACCCTCCCCTTTCAGCACCACCACCACTGTGTCCTGCAGGGGGGGAAGGGGAGGGAGGAGGGGCAGGGGGTGCGTCTCAAGAAAAGGAGCAGGTGACATGACACCAGGTCGGTGCTCTTGGGACGGTAGCGCACCGCGCCCTCCCCCTTCAGCACCACCACCACTGTGTCCTGAGGTGAGGGGAAAGCAGAGGGGGTGCAGGGGGGAAGAGGGGGACGATGGGGGACAAGTGAGAGACGTAGTGACAGGCGGTGGAAGCGCAGCGCAGCGCAGCCTCGCCCCTCAGCACCACCACCACCACTGTGTCCAGGAGGGAAGCAGAGGGGAGAATAAGGGTGGATAAAGGATGACAAGTGGCAGACAATGATTGGTGAATGAGTGACAGGCAGTGGAGGGGACAGAGCGACCTCCTGTCCTGACCCAGCAGCAGCAGCAGCACCGCCATCACCACCACCACCACCACCACCACCACCACCACCACCACCACCACCACCACCACACCACCACCACCACCACCACCACCACCACCACCACCACCACCACCACCACCACCACCACCACCACCACCACCACCACCACCACCACGGTGTGTTGCTGAGAATTCTCAAAGGCGTGGCAGGGAGGGAGAGGGAGAGCAAAGCATGGGGTGTGGGGAACGAGATGGCAGGAGAGGTGGGGATACGGGCGAACAGAGGACGATCACGAGCGTAGACAGCATCTGTTTCTGAAAGTTATCGGACCAAGTTGCACTCTTGATGTGACTGCCTGTGCACGTACTGCTGTGGCAGATACTGCTGTGGCAGATACTGCTGTGGCAGATACTGCTGTGGCAGATACTGCTGTGGCAGATACTGCGTGGCTGCCACGCGTTGGCCAGGCCAGCTGGCCAGTGTGCAACTCGGTGGGCTGCCAACGCACCTGCTCCTGCCCAGACCCACACGCCAACGTTGGTGGCATAGCCCAGGGCGAACGTTGGTGGCATAGCCCGGGGCGAACGTCTGAAGCCACACCTCCACGCCCTCACACAGTGACCACCGCTTTCCTCTCCCTTGCCCCTCACCTGCTGCTGCACTGCCTGCTCTCCCCTGCACCTTTTGAGTCGACTCAAAGCACTGCCTGCTCTCCTCTGCACCTTTTGAGTCGACTCAAAAGCACTGCCTGCTCTCCCCTGCACCTTTTGAGTCGACTCAAAAGCACTGCCTGCTCTCCCCTGCACCGCCTCTCCCTCAGTCGCCCTCACCCCTTTCCCCCCCACTCACCTGCTCCTGCGAGCGCACGTTGGTGGCGTAGCCCGGGGCGAAGTTCTGCAGCCACACCTCCACGCCCTTGTTGCCGTGATGCACGGCGCCCGATAATGTCACATGCACCAACCCCTCGAACCCGAAGTTCTCTGGTGGGAGGGGACGAGAGGACGAGGAACAAGAGGAGGAGGGGAGGAGCGGACGAGGGGAGGAATGAGGGACCTGCAGAGCACGACTAGAGCTACCTCCGCGCCCTTGTTGCCTTGCCCTGATGGATGGCGCCTGACAGCGTCACATGCACCAACCCATCCGAGTCCAAAGTTTATCTGGCGCCAGCAGTGGCACGGAGATGGGTTGGCGCGGCGTAGAGGGGGCGTGTTGGAATGAGGCGTTTGTACGACTCGATTCAAGCCTCATCGCTTCAAGCTGTGATGCCCTGCCTCTCTGCTGTGGTACGGATGGTTAAATCTCTGAACTTACCCTGGTAGAGCTTGTTGATCTTCTGCACCACGGGTCGCTCCGTGAAGCACATGGGCTGCGCGTCCGCGCGCCGGGGAGCACAGGCGAGCGCGACCGCGACGACACACACCAGCGCGCGCGCGAGCGCGCGGGGTCTGTCGGCGTAATCTGACGGCCGCGGCTCCATTACTATCCAGCTAATCAATCGGCCGGCTAACCGCGGAAATTCGAGCGGTATTAAATATCTCAGTGAGCTCTAGAGATGGCCGGGGGAAGGGAGAAAGGCGAAGGACGCAGGGTCGGCGGGGAATGGCGGGGGTAACGGCAGTCGGTATCCTCGAGGCCCTCGTGCTTGGGCTTGGATGGAATTCAACTAGTGTTTTTTGGTGGGCCACGGCTTTGGGTAGGAACTGGAATTTCTGTGCGTCCCTACTGCTTTCGTGCGGTGCAGTTCGGTTTCTACGGTTTTCGAGAAAGGGTATGCAAGATACAGAGGGAAGCATTGCGGTTCCTCCTGTTTGCACCCAGACTTGAGTTGCCACCCAGACCACTCGATATCAGCGCGCAACTCTGGAAACTTCGGATTCGTTTGGATGGATCGCCACGCAAACGTTCAAATTCTAATCAAAGCTGATACAAAAAATTGAGAGCACAATTTATCATATCACTATCCTCAAAGACGGCTCCCATCCCATTAATTAGTGTAATTACTCTTTTTTACTCAGATTCGAACTCTAGTCGGTGCAAAACCACCCCATTTCTAGCAGCTGCATTTCTTCCCCACCTACCCAGTCGTGGCTCCTGCGGACATAATAGAATGTGTGTGCATGTGCATGTGCCATACGGGATAATGGGAGTGAGCAAGAGCAATGATAGCATGACGCCAAAGAATGAAAGAGAGGGAAAGTGGGGATAACACATAAACATAAATAGACAGGGAGTGGATGAGAGACGATGAACAACAAGCACAACGCTCAGTGCGAGTGAGAAAATCAATCCTAGCAAAATGCAAGCGATTTTGAGGTGACTAACCTGGCCAATGCCTGAGATGACGAAATCCGATCGATGAGCAAATGCAATAGAGTTAACAAAGCCAACCTGGAAGGAAGGGCACATGTAGAGTGAGTGGTGGAGGTAGAGGGTTGTAACAGAGCTTGAGCAAAAGAACAACAGTTGAATGTCTTGAGGCCACAAACAGCAGATCATGGATTCAGATGAGTGATAGTGGGAAAAAACAGTGAGAAAGGCGAGGGACGGGTGTGGTTTAGGACAAGAGGGAAAGAAAAGGGAGAAACGTGGGAAGGGTTGAAGTGAGGAACAGGGGTGAGGGGTGGACGTGAGGTGGTATTGCCGGTCCAGCCAGCCAATGCACCGCACCGCACCGTTGGAAGTGATCCCACGGGGCGCAGCCGGTTCGCTGACGTGTCGCAATGCCACAGCCTGAGAATGCCGTCGCCCGCCCCGCTGGCTGCCAGGTCAGAGCCGGGCGCCACGGCAACAGCCCCCACCCACGACTGCACTGCACTCGCTGCTGCTGCCGGTGCTGAGACAGACGGAGCAGCAGCAGCAGCAGCAGCAGCAGCAGCGGCGGCGGAGGCAAATGGTGCAGCGTCAGGGGCTGCATCTGCTGGTTGTTGGGCAGCAACACCGTTGGGCAGGCCATTTTGAGCGGCATCAGCAGCAGCAGACGTGGCAGGTGTACCAGCAGCAGCAGCAGTGGTGGTGCCATGCGCTGCCCGCACGACATGCACGGGCTTCTTCTTGAGGGCGGACCAGAGCGACAGCGACCCGTCGTCACCCCCCGTGATGAACGCGGAGGGCGAGAGGAAGGCACACGAGTCGAGACAGGAAGGGGCCGGTGCTCTGAACACCAGCTGTGTCTCCTCGGGTACCTGGCATGAGATGGATGGGGAGAGGGGGAGAAGGGGGGAGGAGGAGATGGGGGGGAGGAGGAGATGGGGGGGGAGGAGGAGATGGGGGGGGGAGGGGGAGATGGGGGGGGGAGGGAGAGATGGGGGGGGGGAGGGGGAGATGGGGGGGAGGGGGAGACGCCAGTGATGAAGGTAAAGGACAAGCGGAAGGCACACGAGTCCGGACAGGAGGGCGCCGGCGCTCGGAAAACCAGGTGCGTTTCTTCATGTACCTGTGGTGGGATTGGAGAGAGAGAGAGGAGGAGGAGGAGGCAAAGGGGGAACAGCTGGTGTTGAAGGCGGACGGAGGAGACGAAGGGGCATGAGTGAGTCCAGGCACGAGGGCGCTGGCGCTCGCAACACCAGCTGCGCCTCCTCGGGTACCTGCCATGGGATGGCCGGGGGAGAGGAGGGGAAGGAGGGGAAGCAGGCAATGAGAAGTGCAAAAAGGGGGGCGGCATGAAGGAGCAGGCGCACCCCACAGCACCTGGGCATCCCTCAGTGCCTTGCCTGCCCTTGCCTGCCATTGGGTGCTTAGTGCAGTTGGAAGAACACAAGGGCAGCTCAAGAGAGCAGAAGCAGTGAGAGCGGGGCACAATGTGGCCTCCGAGTCCCACGGCTCCCAACCCCACTTGCCCCCCACTCCCCCTGCACACCCCTTCCACGGCCTGCATCAGATAGCACCTCCCCCGGGCATGGCCCACCAACATGCACCTTCCATAGCCGGCAGATGCAGACTATCGCCACGAACACCACCCTGTGCACCAGCTGCCTCAGCGTCTGCCGCACCTCCCCCAGGCATACCTCCCCCCAACCACATGAACCTTCAAAAGCTGGCAGGTATGGTCACTCACCACAGAGACCGCCAAACAGCACCTGTCTCACCAGATACCACCTCCCCCAAGCATTGCCCCCCAAACGCACCTTCCAAAGCCTGCAAGGACAGTCCCTGGCAACAGACACGACACGAACCTCTGCGGCTGCCTGAGCGCCTGCAGCGCACTATCCCCCCCTGGTGTGCTGTGCACATACCCCCCACCCCTTCCCCACCCACACGAACCTTCCAGAGCCGGCAGGTAAGGTCCCTGGTCTGCGGCTGCCTGAGCGCCTGTTTTACCAGAAAGCACCTCACCTCCTCCAGGAATACACCCGTTCTCCTTCTTCCCACCCACACGCACCTTCCAGAGCCTGCAGGTACGGTCCCTCGCCACAGAGACGACCCTCTGTGGCTGCCTGAGCGCCTGTAGCGCCACTATCTCCGCCTGGTGGCCGAACAGCGAATCCATGTACGCCACATCAGCGCAGCTCCACAGCTTGATGCTGCGGTCGGCGGACGCGGAGAAAAGGTCGAGCGATGCCGGCCGGAAGGCGAGAGACATGACCGCCCCCCTGTGGCCCGCAAACGACTGGCGCAGGGGAAGGAGAGAGGGGGGAGCGCGGGTGGGGAGTGGTGAGAAAGGGGGGGAAGGGGGGTGGGGGGAAGAGGAAAGGAGACAGGGGAGGTGGAAAGAGTGAGAGGGTGAGGAAGGAAAGCAATATGACTGCTCCCTTGTGGTCGCACACGAAGGGTCTTCCAAGTTCCCAAGCCCAACTCAAAGGTTCCTAGCCCCAAACCCTGAACCCCGAGCCTTGCCCCTCACCTTAACGTGCGCTGTGCTCCATGTGTTCCACAGGCGCACCATGCGGCGGCAGCCCCGGCCGTTGAGTTCTCATGTACCTACCTCTAACCATAATCCCTAAACCCCACACAAAAGCCCCCACCTGCCGCTGACCTTGACGTGCATGTGGTGCCACAGCTGCCCCACGGGATCTTACCCCCTCTCTCCCACCACTGAGTACTCATGCGTCCTGGAACATAATCTGCCGTGACCTTGTCACTTGACTCGCTGTCACACCAAACATAAGCCCCCACCCTTAAACCCCATCCCCTGCCCCTCACCTTGACGTGCGCGCGCGTGCGCGCGTCCCACAGGTGCACCATGCGGTCGAGCCCCCCCGCCGCCAGGTACCGCCCGTCGTCGCTCACACTCACGCTCAGCACGTGCCGGCTGCTCTTCCCCCCCTTCCCCTTCCCTTTATTCCACCCTCCGCCTCCGCCTCCACCACCTGCCCCCGCGCCCCCATCCGACCGGGAGTTGGGGTTTGAGTTTTCGGGCCAGGGAAACTTAAAGCTGGTTCCCGACTCGACGTCCCAGCCCACTATTAGCCCGTCTTTTGACACCGCGAAGCCCGTTCTGTCGTCCAATGAGAGCGCGACACCTGTCACCGACTGCTTATGTCTGCGTCCCACTGTTTGCCCTGGCGATGCTGACGTAGACGGGATGAACCGGGTTGCGATTCGCCGGATCACCCTGCCGCTCTCTTCTAACGCATCTTGCTTTAATCGGGCAGCTATTATCGCGTCCTGCTCCTCCCTTAAACCCTCGTCCCCTTCCTCCTCCCCCTCCTCGTCTCCATCCCCTTCCTCCGCCTCCTCCTCATCTTCGCTCTCCCCTTCCCCGCTTCTATCCTCCGCCTCTTCCGCCTCTTCGTCCGCCTTCTCCCGCGCGGCCAGCGCCGCTGCTCGCTTCACTTCCGTCAGGTACGACCGCGCAATGCGCAGGCGCTTCGCCTCCGCGCTCTCCGCCAAGCGCGCATTCTCCCCCTCCCCGTCCGATCCGATCTCCGCGTCCTCTTCCGCCGCCTCCTCCGCCCGCGCGAAAAAACGACTCTTCCCGCTCCCCGTCGTCATTAACTCGTTCCGAGGTCTTTTCCGCCCGGCTCCTCCTCCCCCCGCGCGACCCCTTCCGCCTTTGCCCCGCCCGCCACCGCCTCCTGCTCTCCCCCCACGTCCCCGCCCACGGTCACCGCCGCGGGCACGATACATCCTGCCTCCGCGATTCGCGGGGACGAATCGCAGCACTCTTTTGTTTCAGACGCGGACTCACGAATCGGGCAAAAAAAAATTGGCCAAGGTCTGCCTGTAACGACACTAGCCCCGCGACGACAGCGGCAGCAGTCGAACAGGATGACCAAGTCACAAAACTCGGCTTTGGGTCTTGGGGACGGAAGGAGGTGGTCTGGCGGGGTTCGCGGGTGTTGGGTTCGCTATTGCGAAAAACTCGGATCTCACCGAATAGCCACGCGAGCCTGATAATTTAAACATAAACTGCATCATTAAAAAAAAAAAAAAACACTTTCAGATTTTCTCATGTTTGGCCCATTGCTAGCGCTCCCATTTACTTGAGTTGAAAGAATAGTAAGTGTTCTAGAATGCGCAACCCCCTGAGAAGACAGCCCAAAGCTTCCAATACATTGAATGGGCACTCTGTCTAACCACCCAAAAAGAAGTGTATCCGAAGCATGGAAATCTACTGTAGAAAACATGAATATACAGTCCAATGCAACGATGACAAGGGATAAAAAGAAAAGAAAATAATCACACACTGAAAAAAGAGCCTTTCTATACTCTTATCCCACCTCACATCTCATTCCTGTGACCGTACTACAATCCAAACTAGTAGGTCCACTCACAGCTCAATGCCTTCCACCCCAACCTATTCAGCACCCCACGACGCAGTACTGGCCATTCTCGGAGGGCCAGTCGCATGCACGCGGGGCAGCAGCATAGTCAGGCTCACGGGGAGACCACCACAGCAGTCCCACCTCAGCACCACCCAACCTTTCATTGCCTGACTCCTCAGCACCCCACGACGCAGTACTGGCTGTTACCCGAGGGCCAGGTGCAGGCGGGCGGGCCAGCAGCATAGTCAGGCACGCGGGGGACGACCACCGCAGTACCACCAAAGAAGCACGTTCCAGGCTGGTGGTTGTGACGGTAGAAGTATGCATTGAAGGCGTGAGACGCATGCTGTACCAGCGCACCATCTCCCTGCCAGCACGCCCCTCCCGGCAGTATGGGAGAGCAGTCCACCCCGCCCGGCCCACACGCCCAGTCCAGCGCCCTCTGCACCGCCCCCATGTCTGCCGCGCAGCCACCCCTACCGCCTCCGCCCGGCGCCACGACACCTCTGGGGGGGTAATCCGGCTCGGGGGAGTATTGGGGGTATACGGGGTGAACGAGGCCCGGAGGGGGAGAGTAGGGGTCAGGGATCTCCTGGCAGGCAGCAACGCAGAACTGGCCGTTGGACGACGGGAAGGTGCAGGCGGCCGGGCCGGCAGCGTAGTCGGGCACATGTGGAACCACCACGGCATTGCCTCCGAAGAAGCAGGAGCCGGGGCGGTGCGCGTGGGAGTGGAAGATGGAGTTGAAGGCCACTGACGCGTGCAGGGCGAGGTTGCCCGGCTGGAAGCACGCCCCGCCCGGCTGGATGGAGGAGCAGTCGGCGCCGCCGGGCCCACACGCCCAGTTGAGTGCGTTGAGGAGTGAGCCTGGGGCCACGCCGCAGCGCAGGTGGTGAGCGGTGGTGGGAGGAGGAGTGGTGGTGGGAGGAGGGATTGTGGGAGGGGTGGTAGTGGGGGGAGGGGTGGTTGTGGGGGGAGGGGTGGTGGGAGGAGTGGTGGTGGGGGGAGGGGTGGTTGTGGGGGGGAGGGGTGGTTGTGGGGGGAGGGGTGGTTGGAGGAGTGGTGGAGGGGGGAGGGGTGGTAGGAGGAGTGGTAGTGGGGGGGAGGGGTGGTGGGAGGTGTGGTGGTAGGAGGAGGGGCGCTTGGAGGAGCGTTTGTGGGAGGAGGTGTGGTGGGTGGGAGGACCGGGGGGATCGGGACGCCATCAGCAGGGGGGTCGACAGGAGTGGCATCATCTGCATCACCGTCAGCAGCTCCACCACCGGCACCACCATCATCGGCATCACCGTCAGCAGCACCACCACCACTGGCATCACCATCATCGGCATCACCGTCAGCAGCACCACCACCACCGGCACCACCATCATTGGCATCACCGTCAGCAGCATCACCACCATCCTCAGCATCACCAACATCATCGGCATCACCATCAGCAGCTCCGCCACCACTGGCACCACCATCATCGGCATCAGCATCATCATATGATTCATTCCCTGCTGCTGGGTCCGGAGGGCTCACTGCCCCTCCACTGCTGCCACCACTACCGGTGCTGCCACCACTACCGGTGCTGCCACCACTACCGGTGCTGCCGGTGCTACCGGTGCCACCACTGCCGCCACTGCCGCCACCTGGAGTGGCAACCACTCCTCCACCAGAGCTGCTGGAACTCCCACCTCCGCTCCCAGACGCTCCCCCCCGCACCCTGTCCCTGTGCCTGCCCCTGCCCTGCCGGTGCAATCAGGGTGCTGTGCTTCGCTGCCCTTGCCACTGGCACGGCCACCGTACCTGTTCCCACGGCTCGGGTTGGTTTGGCTCGAGCTGGCTTGGCTCGTGCCGTACCAGCGTGCTGGTTTGCTGCCACGTGGGCAGAGGGACGGGGTTTGCCGTTGTGGTGGCCAGGCGTGGCATGGGCCGAACCGCCGTGGTAGTTTCCCGGACGCTTCACCAGCTTGGCTTGAGAGCCCGAGCCTCGAGCCCCGGCTTGGCGTTTGACCGGCTTGGCTCGGGTACCTTGGTTCGGAGGAACAGGCGTGGGACGTGCCATGGCGCGTGGCGGGCGGCGAGTAGCAGCAGTGCGAGGGACCATGGGCTTGAGTGCGGCAGTGCTGTCGGCACTGTCAGCAGTGTAATAGTCGCCGCCACTGGGATAAAGCGAGTCCTCTGCATCGGAAGGTTCAGCGAAATACTCGTCACCTCCACTCCCATAGTCGTTACTCCCGTAGTCGTCACTCCCGTAGTCGCCCTCCCATGTGCTGTTGCCATCGCTGCTGCTATCATCCCAACCTCCCATACCATCGTCCCAGCCTCCCTCCGAGCTGTCGTCCCAACCTCCGTCCGAACCATCGTCCCAGCCATCCTCCGAGCCTTCCCCCGAGCCTACATCCCAGCTTCCTTCGGAACCATCATCCCAGACTCCACCCGAGCCGTCATCCCAGCCTGCATCCGAGCCGTCGTACCAGTTCGAGCCCGAAAAATCTTCCCAAAATTCATCCGAACCATCTTCCCAACCTCCATCTGACCCGTCAACCGACTCTCCTTCCGAACCTCCTTCCAAGCCACCATCCCAGCCTCCTTCGAAGCCGCCGTCCGAGCCATATTCCGAGCCTCCCATCCTGCCGTTTTGCTCATCTATGGCGTCCAGCATCGGCCAATCACCGCCTGCGCTCTCCTCACTCACCGAACCACCGTCCGAACCTGATCCTGAGTCAGTGTATCCCGCCAAAATCCCTCCCGGGGGGCCTCCCATCTTCGCGTTTTGCTCCGCTATAGAGTCCAACATCGGGTTACTGTATCGAACCACACTGTGCTGTCGAGGCGCCCGACTACCGTGGCGGCCATGACGCGGACGGCCGAGCCGCTGCATGCTGTCGTAGGCCGGACCGGCGCTGGAGGAGGCGCGAGGAACCTCTTCGAGAATTTCCACCTCGTCGCCGTCTCGGTCAGTCCCATCGAATACTTTCACTTTCTGCCCCGTGCTACGGTCAAACTTGATAGTACCACCATCGCTGTCCGCTAGAAGCTCGCGCGGACGGAACCTCGGCCCTCCGCCGAGCCTTGCCTCATGACCGGGCCTGCGGACGAGCCTCGGTGCGTGGCTCGTAACGAGCATCCTGGCTCGCGAGTTCCGGACTCGGCGAGTTTCTGGGCGCGGCAGCCGCCTGCGCGCGAAGCGGACGACTTGGATGGGCGGAGTGGTGGCGGAAGGGGGGGAAGGCGGAGGCGGAAGATCGGGGCTCGAGGCCGCGCGGAGATGGTGCTGGTGCGCGATGGTTGGGCGCAGCTGGTGGCTCGTGCGGTGCTGAATGCTGTGCCTGCGCGCCGCGCGCGCCGGAATGGGTTCGCCGCGCCGCCCTGTAGTGTAGTACTGGCTCGGGAAGAACCTTCCGCGACCTGCGGCGGACTGGAGAGCGCATGCGACGAGCAGGAGGACGACCGCGACCCGTGCGGACGCCATGATGACGACTAACCTAGCAGAGCAGTGCCCTAGTGAGACGTACACTAACAACGGTTGCGAGCCTTTCTTTGTCCCTCGTGAAGAAACGCTATGGCACTCGGCAGAAGGTTCTGTGCTTTCTGCTCCGCGTGCAATCCACAGGTGATCCCTTTGAAAGAGGCTGCTTCTAATGTGCTCTACGTTCGCCCTTGCTTACTCTAAAGAGGTAATGGATTCAGAAAGCCAAGCCTCGGGTTTTGAATTGTGGGTGCCAAGAGGGATGAGGGGGAAGAGGTAGACAAGCAGCAGCAAGAAACCCCATGCATTGCTGGCAGTCAGTCGAGCCAATTTCGCCTCGCAACGACTCCAGCGCAGCAAATGTCGAATTCACTCCTCGTTCTTTGGTATCCGCGAAACAGCGCATTTCATTGCCTTGGTGGAATTCGCTGCGATACGTAACAACGAGGCCGTGGAGTCGCCAGCACCACCTCTGACTGCTCTCAACTTTCGCTGGACTCGGCAGGAACGGGGTTCGCGAAAACAGAGCTGCCACGTGTAAGTATATCCCCTTATGCGACTGCTTGACGAGTACCAGGTGCCACGACTTCGCAGGACTGACTGCGCCAGGCGAACGAACCAGGGGAAGCCTGAGGGAAATCTGAGACTTGACCGCAGCGACTGGGCTGGCCAGTGCTGGGCTCTTCGGCGCTGACGTGGTACAGCGGGTCAACCGCCCTTCATATCCGCGATGTGAAATCCAGCACGGAAAGGAAAAGCACCTATAATTCGTTCAGATACATTTTGTAACTTTGTGAAATGACGGTAAGAAATAGAAAAAACATTCTGTACATACTAGTGTTTTCATAGATTCACTACGGAATAAAGGATACGATATTGAATTGATCCTCAAGTATAATGCTGCAACTATGGTATGTGAAGGTTACAGAAGGTTAAGTGAGACACCATAGGTCTCACACATTCACATCACACGTCAACGTTGAACTCCAAACAATTCCACGTACAGCACTAGCGTGCAGCCACGTCATTTCAACCCACGAGACACCCTCCACACGATCCTTCTATCGAGTACAGATTTCTCCTGCAACGTCCCCCACCGCCTCCCTTTCTCGTTTGGATAAACCTCTGATACTCATTTCGCGCATGATTGATCTAGAATCTCCCGGTTGCATGTCCCATAGTGATCTGTCCTGCAGCTACATGGTGATTTGTCTGAAATACTAGCGCAAGCTGTCTGCTGTTTCTCTTCAGATATTATTAGAGCAGCCTGCTTCTCGTTTCAATTGCAGCAACCCTAGATATTACCAATCTGTTTGGATTACCGCTGACGTCCAGTGATCTCGCCGTCCCAGTCATGGCGTCAGCATTGACTCACATCGGAGCAACGCGTCTCGCCACCATTCGTCCAGAGCCCACCGCCACTCTCAGAACTCCCGCGAGCCAGCCTTCGTCCTTAACATGGTTACCACCAGCCGGTATACGCCACTCTGTGTCGCGAGTTTCCGCTGATCTCGTCGGCGGGCGCGGGCCCAGTCACGGCTGGCCGCACGGAGGCAACCGCTCGGCGCGCTTAGAGGTGACGGCGAGGGCGGGAGGCGCGCGGCCGCGGCCCGCTGGTGCGCGGCCGTCGCAACGGCCGCCGATGAGACGGCAGCAGCAACAGACGGAGGATAAGGACGGACCGCTGATGAACAGTGATATCAGGTGAGACGGACCGCAGGTGAACTGAAAGCAGGTGATTCGCACTGCAGATGAACACTAATATCGACGGACCGCAGGTGAACAGTAGATCAGATGAGACGGAGTGCAGGTGAATGGTGGACAGGTGAGTCGAATCGCATGCCAACAGCCGTGCTAGATAAGCAATAATAAGAAGGATCCCTGACGTTAGGTGAAACTTCCCAGGCTTGATTAGATTAGAAGGCAAGCCGTGAGCGACGGGGGGGGGGGGGGGGAGAGAGGTGGGGAGGTGGCGGGGGGGGGAAGGGGGGCAATGCAGCCTCTGGAGCGCAATGCATCGTAGCCCGTGGATCGCTTGCCTCGGGGCTGTCGCGACGCGTCCCATTGGAGACCGTTTGGTTAGCATGGATTGTGGAAAGTTCGGTCCGATGCGTCTCAACGTAGGCTTTAGTTTGCGCAGCAGATTTGAGGCGGAGCGGATTAAAGCGGTCACCTGTGCGTGCATTTCGCCGCACACGACGCGCGAGCTGTCGGCGAGAGCAGCTGCAGGCGTCTGAGCCGTGGCACGGTGCGCTATCTTGACGCGTCGCGAGGGTGTCTTTGAGGCGCCTTGGAACGCGAAGGTTGACTCGACGCGCTGTTTCGACGCGGCTCGTGCGTGTTGTTGAAGTGGTTCGTCGAACTATATCCGATTCAGAGTGTGAGGGGATTGGGTGCGGGGGGTTAATGCTCGGGTGTGGGGGGTCGCGCGAAGCACTGTGATCACGACGGGTGCGCGTGTGGGGGGTCCGTGTGGGTCGCGGTAAGAAAATCCCCTCCATTGCCGACAATGTTGATATCACTTTTGAGAATCACGATGTTCTTAAAAGAGACTTCCCTCCTTTGCCGACGACGATCTCGCAGCGTTCGCTCTGCCGCAACGCGAACGACCTGGCCATCGCGAGTCGAGCCTAACCGACCTAACGGTCACCATGTTCGCACCGCGTTTTCATTTTGATGTGCGAATCGATTGCGTGTGTGGAGTCTAGTCGAGTCGAGTCGGCTCACTAGTCGCCACATGCCAGTCACTAGTCGAGTCGATTCGCCATGCACCATCCACCAGTAACCATGTAACATCCACCATGCACCATCCACCATCCACCATCCACCATGCAACATGTATCTACGTACCCCGTATGCCAAACCATTCTGCACCCATCCATCCGTCCCTCCACGTGGCAGGGTGCCCACGCTGCGGCTGCTGGCAGAGGACCAGGCTCTGGTGAGTGCAGCAGCACCGCGTGGCTGCTCGGAGGGATTCTCCTTGGCGCCCCTTTGACCTCTGTCAATGCACACTTGCTGCTTTCTTCGCGTAGTGTAGGCGAGCGAGAGAACAAGAGCATTGAACAAGGAGTCCTTCTCGAGTTATTGTAGGTGTACATCTTTGTTCTCTCTCGCGCTGCGCCTCCCATCTCCTAGTCTCACCGTCGCCCTTTTTTATTACCTGCCGCTGTGACTAACTTGAGCCATGGCTGTAGTCGTGGCCGTTCCTCTCCTCTCCTGTTCCTGACTGAAACTCACTGTGCCTTCCACTCGCCCCTCTCTTTCTCCCTTTCCCGCTCCCTCTGCCTGTGCCTGTCTGCCTGCCTGCCTGCCTGTGCGTGCCCGTCTGTGCGAGCGAGCATGAGAGCAGCTGGGGATAGTATCGAGAGAGGAGGCGCTCTCCAAGGCCCGAGAGGCGGGGCTTGACCTGGTGAGCCGGTGCTGGGGAGTTTTGAGGCGTTCTGTGATGTGATGAGGCGTGCTGCGGCGTGCTGCGGCGTGCTGGGGTGTACTGGGGTGTGCTGGGGTGTACTGGGGTGTGCTGGGGTGTGCTGGGGTGTGCTGGGGTGTGCTGGGATGTGCTGGGGTGTGCTGCTGCGATTCCACCCAGAGGTAGGGTTGCAGAGTTGAACCTGGTGAGTGGTTGCTGCTGTCCCGTTGGGAGAGCCCGTGATTGCTTCTCCATTCGCTCATTCTTCCGCTTTCATTGCCCCACCTCAGTTACCCTCCCCTGCCCTCCCTCCGTTACCCTCCCCTGCCCTTCCCTGCCCTTTCCTACCCTCCCCTACCCTCCCCTGCTCTCCCTTACCATCCCCTACCCTCTCCTGCCCTCCCCTACCCTCTCCTGCCCTCCCCTGCCCTCCCTCCCTGCCCTCCCCTCCCCTCCCCTCCCCTCCCCTCCCCTCCCCTCCCCTCCCCTCCCACCCCTACCCTCCCCTGCCCCCCCCCCCCTCCCTCCCCTACCCTTCCCTGCCCTTCCCTGCCCTCCCCTACCCTCCCCTAACCCCCCCTAACCTCTCCTGCCCTTCCCCGCCCTCCCCTGCTCTCCCTGCCCTCCCGTGCCCTCCCGTGCCCTCCCCTGCCCCCCCCTGGTCAGAACTTGAGCTTAGAATCTATGAATTAGTAATGAGCTTGAAGCTCTTTAAGTACATCCACAATGAGCAAGAAATGGATGGGGAGGGAATCGGGGGCAATATCTAGAGATTGGGGTAATCCCAAGGCAATTCCCAACTAGTGGGTTGGAGATTGCTTGCAGATCACATTTGAGTCTGGTTGGGATGTGGGCGTACACCCAACCAAACACAAGTGCAAAGTATACTAAACTAGGATATATAAAGTACAAGTACAAAATGTGAGATTGAAGGCTAACACTAACACCCCTACCCTCCCCTAACCTCTCCTGCCCTCCCCTGCCCTCCCCTGCCCTCCCCTGCCCTGCCCTCCCCTGCCCTCCCCTCCCCTCCCCTCCCCTCCCCTCCCCTCCCCTCCCCTGCCCTCCCCTCCCCTCCCTTCCCCTCCTCTCCCCTGCCCTGCCCCGCCCTTGCGTGCCATGCATGCGGGGGTGAGAGCAGGTGATGATAGCAGCGGATGCCAAGCCGCCTGTGGCACGAATCATGGACTACAGGTGAACGCTCAGTGCTCACCTCACCCACTCACATGGGCTGTTTGTGTAGGAGGCGTACTGACATTTCAGTGATTGCGTCTGGTGTATGTGAGTATGCACTCGTTTGTGTGCTCGTTTGTGTGCTCGTTTGTGTGCTCGTTGTGTGCTCGTTTGTGTGCTCGTTTGTGTGCTCGTTTGTGTGCTCGTTGTGTGTGCTGTTTACCTTCAGCTCCCTCCCTCAGCCTCTCTCTGGTAAGCAATCATACTCTGTCTTGCTTCTGCTTGTTTACTGCCTCATCCCGTCCCACCTGTTTCATCCTCGTTACAGCAAGTTCCGGTACGAGCAGCAGAAGAAGAAGCGCGAGCAGCAGAAGAAGGCTGCTGCCAGCCGCCAGGAGCTCAAGGAACTCAAGATGCGGTCAGCTCCCTCACTCACCCTCTCACTCCCTCACTCGTGCCAATCCAGCCCTTCTTCCATCCCTGTAATCCATTTCTTTGTATTATCAAGGACATGCCGACAGGAGCTCAACATGCGGTCAGCTCCCCACTCCCTCACTCCCTCACTCCCTCCCTCCCTCACTCACTCACTCACTTCCTCACTCACTCCCTCGTTCGTGCCAACCCTTCATCTCTGTGAGCAAATTTTTAGAATTCTCAGACCTTGGGATTGCATGTCAACCTTGGGATTGCATGTCAACCTTGGGATTGCATGTCCACCTTGGGATTGCATGTCAACCTTGGGATTGCATGTCCACCTTGGGATTGCATGTCAACCTTGGGATTGCATGTCCACCTTGGGATTGCATGTCAACCTTGGGATTGCATGTCAACCTTGGGATTGCATGTCCACCTTGGGATTGCATGTCAACCTTGGGATTGCATGTCAACCTTGGGATTGCATGTCAACCTTGGGATTGCATGTCCACCTTGGGATTGCATGTCAACCTTGGGATTGCATGTCAACCTTGGGATTGCATGTCCACCTTGGGATTGCATGTCAACCTTGGGATTGCATGTCCACCTTGGGATTGCATGTCAACCTTGGGATTGCTTAGTTGAGAAAAAGTTTGCATGTTGACGTTGAGAACGCACACTCTCACTTCCCTTCCCCACAGCTTCTCTACCCTTTTCCCCTCCTCCACTTTTCCCTCCTGCAACTTTCTTCTCGCCCATCGCCCCTCCCCACCCAACCCCTTCCCTGCTCCGGCCATTTGTCTAGTAAGGCATGCGTCCACTTGTCGTGCCGACATACCTGTGAGAGTGAGTGAGTGTGAGGCATTTGCAGCATTCGAGGCAATCGCCCCTTGACTCTCCTTGTGCGTTCCCCCTCTCCTCCCTCCTCCCCCTCCCACCCAGGTAAAACATCGACACGGGCGATTACAAGGTGCGACCCAATTGTGAGTGACGTGAGGCATCAGTGCTTTCACTCTGCTTGTGCCTTCCCCGACCCTCCACCCCCTCCCCACTGGTCCTCCCCAGGTACAACATTGACACGGGGGACTACAACGTGCGCCTCAAGCAGGCGCTCAAATTCCTGCACGATGGCGATAAGGTGCGGTGCATGATGGCGATAAGGTGCGGTGCATGATGGCGATAAGGTGCGGTGCATGATGGCGATAAGGTGCGGTGCATGATGGCGATAAGGTGCGGTGCATGATGGCGATAAGGTGCGGTGCATGATGGCGATAAGGTGCGGTGCATGATGGCGATAAGGTGCGGTGCATGATGGCGATAAGGTGCGGTGCATCTGGGGAAGGCGTGTGGTGCATCTGGGGAAGGGGTGTGGTGCATATGGGGAAGGGGTGTGGTGCATATGGGGAAGGGGTGTGATGCATATCGGGAAGGGGTGATGCATGGTGGGGAGAAGGGGTGATGCATGGTGGGGAGAAGGGGTGATGCATGGTGGGGAGAAGGGGTGATGCATGGTGGGGAGAAGGGGTGATGCATGGTGGGGATAACGAGTGAAGAATGATGGGGATACTGTGTACGGCAAAATAAGAGCTACAAAAGACTTTTCCGCATATGTTTCCCCATTCCTCATCTGTCCCTTCTCCCCTCCCTTGCCGTCTGCCCTTCCTCCTTTCTGCCCCTCTCTCCACCTTTTCCACTCCCGCCTTCGGAGTGTGTGTGGGAGGGCAGGTGAAGCTGACGGCGCAGTTCAGAGGGCGCGAGATGGAGTTCAAGGAGCTGGGGGTGAAGCTCTTTGAGAAGTTCCAACACGACGTCGCTGAGGTGAGAGCATGGTGTGGCTGGTGTGAGAGCATGGTGTGGCCGAGGTGAGAGCATGGTGTGGCTGAGGTGAGAGCATGGTGTGGCTGAGGTGAGCAAATAGCATGGTGTGGGCTGTGTTGCCTTCACCTGTGGGCACACTCTTGACCACTCACCTTCTTCCCTCTGCCCTGTTGCTCCCTCCCTGCAGCTGGCGATAGTGGAGTCGAAGGCGCATCTGGAGGGGCGATCGGTGCACATAGGTGCCAGCGCGCAACAAGGCCACATTCACCCCCCTCACCTTAATGCGCGTGCCTCTTCTACTCATGTCTTTCCCACTCCCCTTGCAGCTGGCGATCGTGGAGTCGAAGGCGCATCTGGAGGGGCGGTCGATGCACATGGTACTGGCGCCCAACAAGGCCGTGCTGCAGCGCATGGCTGCCGCCGAGGAAAAGAGCCGGCGGGCGGCGGAAAGGAGCAAGCGTGCCGAGACGCGTGGAGTGGTGTCTGGGAGTGAGAGTGACGGGGGGGAGAGTGGGGGGGAGAGTGATGGGGAGAGCGATGGGGAGGAGGTGGTGGAGGTTGTGAAAGAGAAAAGTGGGCGGCAATAGGTGATGTGGAAAATTTGGGTGAAGAAAACGAAACGAAATGCATATTTTTGGAGATAAGCTATAATGGTAGTTTTTGGTAGTCAACATCTGCTACCGTATTTTGGACAAAACACCCCCCAATGATAGAGCACCCCCGGGTAGCTTGTGCAGGGTGGATGCTATGGAAGACCTCGATTTCACTATACCCCTCTTTTTGGATGATTTTTTATAACACCCCCCTTATCTTACTGATTCTATATTATAGCTGTTAACGAGTAGGTGCAAATATGGAAATATATCGCGAAAATTCCTCGCTCGATGGAATTTCTCTTTTCTTTCACATCAAATCTGCCGAGATTCCCCCCCGCCCACTATTTCGCTGTCGCCACGTACTGGAGAATCTTCCGCTGCATGTGGCCGGGGGGGTGCCAAATGACATTTTCGAGGGGTTGATGACGTTCGCGTCGAAACTGGCATTCGCGCCTTAACATGTGATGTTTAAAGCCCAAAGCCCGAATTACAAAGTCAAAAGCAAACTGGTGACACTGTGCCTCCCGCACCTTCCTCTGCCGAACCACGTCGAGGGATCCCCACCTGCTTGGGGCTGTGCCCAAAAGTGATGACAGTTTGGTGGCGTGACGGTAATTCAGCAAAGGCATTGACTTTCCAGTTTGGGGCGGTTGCTTGGGGCCCAGTGTTGCGATTCACTTTGCTTTCGCCCATTCTTTTCGCGAATCATTGGGTTCGCTTTTGTTCCGAACCATTCCCCCAACCTCCTCCCGAACTTAGGTTTTACCGAGTTGACCAGCTTTGAGTAATTCGGGGTTTGGCCTTTAAAAGCCCATGGTAACACTCAACTTCTCTAATAAAAAAAAACTAACACTAAAATATACCATCTATATGCACCCGGGTATTATGTAGCTTTTTCCTATGAGAAGACACCCCCCTTTTTTTCCCTGTATTTTTAGATCTACCCTAGGGTGTTATGTCCGGGAGAATTCGGTGAGGAAAGTAGAACGAGAATGGATTGACTAAGGAATGAGAGTGATATAAATATGCAACCCTAGAAATGTGTACCCCATATAGACTACCCCACTATAGCCTACACAATATTATAATTTGACACACCCCCATTGACAAAATAAAAGAGAACAAGGGGTCACAAGACCAGTCAAGCACAGCAAGGCAAAGCTCAGGGTGGATCACAACGTCACCACACAGTCCGAGCACAAGGTCAAAGCCACAAGGCCAGTTCACATGCAGGAGTGCACATATATATATAAGACTAAACAAGCAAGAGCAGGTATATATATATGTAAGAGTACAAGCAAGATCAAGAGGTCAGCAAGTGAGGCAAGACAGGCACAAGACCCAGCTGAGTGCAGAAGCGCTGATGATCACAAGGCGGAAGTGCCTTGGTGAAAACATCAGCAGTGTTGGCCTCAGAGGCCACGTACGCAAGTCGCAACTGACCACGCTGCTGCAGCTCACAAGCAAGAAAGTAGCGGAGGGCAATGTGCTTTGTTCTGTGCTCCAGGTGCTGCTCCCGACACAAGGCTAGCATGGCCTTGTTGTCTACGTACAGCACCGGAGGAGAACGAGGCGGCTCTCCGAGGTCAGTCAGCAGGTAGGTAAGCCAGCGAAGCTCTTGTGCAGCCATGGCCCCGGCGTAGATCTCAGCCTCACAACTGGAGCCAAGAACAGAAGACGAGCGAGTAGCCCGCCACGAAACAGAGCCGGAACCAAGGCTGAAGGTGTAACCCTGTGACGACCGCTGCGTAGCCTGGTCGTTTGCCCAAGAAGCGTCCGCGTGCCCAGTGAGGACCACTGGACTCTACCCTCCAATAACTAGCCCCATGCCCGACGTACTGCACAAGTAGCGCAACACCCTCTTCGCTGCAGCCATGTGCTCTGGTCTGTGTCTCCCAGGAGCAACATAGCGTGAAAGAATGCTAAGAGGGTATGCAAGGTCAGGTCGTGTGCAGGTCATCAGGTACATGAGGCAGCCAACAAGCTCTGGGTACGGGCCACTCGACTCTACGGACTCATCCGAAGGAAGAGCTGAGAGCGAGTGGCGAGTAGACAGAGGAGTGGCCTGAGGCGAGGAGTACGTGAAGCCGAAGCGCTGAAGGACCTGCTGCACCATGTGTGAACTAGTCAGGGTGATGGTGCGGCGTGCTCTGTCCCGGGTGATCTGCAAGCCAAGGTAGCTGCGCAGTTCACCCAGGTATGTGCACGTGTGTCTCTTCTGCAGCTCGGACTTCACGTGGGCGAGTCCAGCAGTGTCAGCTGTGGCAAAGACCAAGTCGTCGACGTACACGAGGATGTAGAGCGGCGGCAGAGAGGTGTCGGTGCGTAGAAACAGCGACGGGTCAGCAGTAGAGGGAGCAAACCCAAGAGCCGCAAGTGTAGTCCTCAGTGTGTCGTGCCACTCGCGCGGTGCCTGGCGGAGACCGTAGACTGGCCGTCGGAGGCTCCACTGGGTGCCAGGAGGGAAAGTCCCAGTGAAGCCAAGTGGACGGCACAAGCAGATCTCCTCGTGCAGGCTACCCTGCAGGAAAGCAGTGCTGAAGTCAAGGGAGTGTAGCTCGTAGTCACGCTGAGCGGCTATGTGTAGCAGCACCCGAAGAGTGGTCATCTTCGGGGTGGGAGAGAAGGTCTGAAAGTAGACAACTCCCTGCCGCTGACTGAAGCCATGAGCCATGTACCGCGACTTGAAGAAAGGTGGAGAGCCCGGCGGCCGCTTCACCCTGAAGATCCACATGCCACTGACGATGTTCGCCCCAGGAGGGGGAACCGCGTCAACGTAGGTGCCTGTGGACTTCCAGGAAGCCATCTCTGCATCCATAGCTGCCTGCCATTGAGAGGAGTAGGGGCCCTCTATGGCCTCCGCGTAAGAGCGCGGAGTCGGGATGTCTAGTGCATCCGGGTCTCCCTCAGGGGTAAGCAGTACGGACGCGAGATGAGGTGAAGCAGCAGCCAGACACTGGAACTCCTCCTGCCTGTCCTCAAGGACGTCCGTGCCAAGAGCACACTCACCCCCGACGGACGGAGGACAGACAGACTCAGACTCAGCAACAAGAGTAGCAGCGTAGTCTAGACGACAGCTAGCAGCAAAGTCGACGAGCTCAGCCACAAGAGCAGACGCAACAGTGGACTCAAAGGAGGGGTCAGTGACGACAGTAGCAAGGAGACGCGTGACAGTAAGACTGGTAGCACGAAGAGAGTCCGACTCAGGGTCGGCAAGCGCAGGAAGAGAGGACTTAGGAGGAGAGGGCAAAGGGGCACGCAGAGGAGCAGTGGACGGACGCACAGACATCCGGTGCGTGCCAGGGACAGGAGGAGGACGCTGACGCGAACTGCGACCACTAGTGCGAGCATCACGAACAGGCGACGAAGGACGAGACGCAGGCTCACGACGCTCAGCAAGACCTCCAGTAGGACCAGTGTACGGAGAAGGAGAAGGCAGTGGGGAGGCCGGCGGTAACTGTGACTGTGACTGGACAGGCGGTGGACACTCTAAGGGAGGAGGAAGACCAAGAACCTGCTGAAGGAGCGGAACAAAGTACGGCCGAGGCCGCGCGGCGACTCCAGACACAGCAGGGACAGCACCAGCACCCCCAGCAGCAGCACCAGCGTCAACAGCACCTCCAGCTCCAGTACCTCCAGCAGCACCAGCATCACCCGCAGCAGGACCGCTGCCAGGACTGACAGCAGTAGCCTCTGCGCCAACACCCTCAGCAGCTCCGACTCCAGTAGCACTCGCAGGACTAGCACCTCCGAGACCGGCGGCACCAGCACCCTCAGCAGCCGAAGAAGCACCAGCTCCAGTAGTACGCCTCCAGCGCCGGGCAAACCACTCGCGCAGCTCCTGTGGAGAGAGTGGCTCCCGCCGAGACGAAGCACCCGGAGAACCACCAGGCCCAGCACCGCCAGACGCCACACAAGCAGGTCCAGCGGCCGCGGGCTCCGCACCCCCAGGCTCTGTAGCTCCAGACTTAGCACCCCAAGGCTCAGCAGCTCCAGACGCAGCACCCCCAGGCGAAGGACCCCTAGGCTCAGCACCCCCAGTCGTAGCACCCCTAGGCTCCGCACCCCCAGTCGCAGTACCCCCAGGCTCAGCACCCCTAGTCTCAGCACCCCCAGGCTCAGCACCCCCTCGTGCAGCACCCCCAGAGTCAGCACCCCCAGGCTCAGCACCCGCAGCAGTACCAGAGTCACCAACAACCTCGACCGGCCCGACTGCGTCTACCTGGGACACACCTGAAGGGGCAGGACCCTGAGGGGGGAGGGGGTCTACCTGAGGGGGACCTGGCACAAGGAAGTGCGGCGGCGGGGGGAGGGAAGGAGTGCGGTAGGGTAAGAGACGGTAGTAGGGGACGGACTCGTCGAACGTGACGTCCTGGGAGGACAGAACACGACGAGAGGAGGGGTGGTAGAACGGCCACCCAGGGGCGTCAGTGGGGAAGCCAAGGAAGACACAGGGAGCAGCACGGGGGGACAGCTTGTCCGCAGACAAGTCGCGGACAAACACCCGAGATCCCCAGACATGGAACGCAGACGCATCGCCGACCTTCCCCGTCCACAGCAAGGCTGGGGAGGTCTCCGGCCTGGAGACCCTGGGGTGAAGGTTGATCTGATGCGCCGCGTACCAAACCGCAAACGACCACAGAAAATGGGGGGCAGCCGCATGCATCATGGACGTACGAGCGACGTCCATGACCATGCCAATGCGGCGCTCAGCAATCCCATTTTGCTGTGGAGAGTTCGGAAGCGTAAAGGTCTGGCGGATGCCTCGCGCACGACAGTAGGCTCGCAGAAGGCCAGAGGAGAACACTCCGCCTCGGTCAGAGTGCAGACGCAGAACAGGAAAGTCCGAGCCGAAGCTCCTCCTGAGCTGGAGACGAGCTGCGCGGATCCAGTCGATCAACACCTCAGTGACATCACCTTTGCTGCGCATAGGGAAGACTGTGGTGTAACGCGAGTAGTCGTCAACCACCAGCAGGAAGTAGCGCTCGTGA